CCCAAGCCATCGTAACAATATGAAAAAGTAATCCTGCTAAGTCCTGAATCATTGACATGGGTAAAAAAGTCTGAGATCACACACATGCAAGCATACGAATACGCACATAAAGATTTGTATGATTTACCAAGTATTTAGTTAGTTATCAATGTTACTATCATTCAAATTATTACCTTTAAAATTATGAATTAGCCTTGCCAGCTATAACTATTAACGTTATAAATTATTTCATAGTCAGTTGTTGCGTAGGATTCTATGTACGTGACACAGTATTAAAAATAAAATTTTTTTAACGTGCAAAAAAAAGTGTTGACAATATTCATAAATTAAAATAAAAGTTGCAATAAGAAATAGAAATAGAATACTAAATTATATTAAAAAAAAAAAATCCAATGGCAATCAGAATTGAACCCCAAATCGCCAAAATATGCCGTCGAAGGCATAAGCCCTAGCATCTCAGCTATTCAAACTTTGGACCTCATATAACCTAAAGTCACATATGTTTATTGATACCCTCCGGAGCTTGGCCTACAGTTCATAGCGATTATGATAAGGAAAAATAATAGTTTATATTTAAGGTGCTTATAGCCATACTATCAACCTCAAAAAATATTTCAAGCTAAATATTTTTTCAACGTTCTTTGATACGCAGTACTAAACGAAAATCCAAAGTATTAGAAGAACTAAAAAATAAATGCCTTGAAAGTCTGAGCTTCCAATTGCGTAAACATTTATTTGTATGATTTAATTTTCGAAAAATAATATGGCTAGCCTCTCTTAAACTTTCATATGTTATAGAGAGTTGTAAATTAAAATAGGTTTTTTTATTTTACAAATATAAGATGTGAAATCTTTTTTTCTTCTCTATTTCCCCTTGATTTCTAAGACCTTATTTAAGAAGTTAGTAAGTATATAGCGAAAAAGACTCGTCGCTTTCTTCCGCTATGATATACACGGGTATATATAGTTATATAGCTGTAGTCGGCATTTCCATGCACCACACACCACTCCTCTCTCCGTAGGCACATATTTAGTATACCCCTTCCACGCGTCTCCAAAGTATGTGCCTACATGACCATTTCCACGCGAATCCGTAGGCACACACTCGGTATACCCCCTCCACGCTTCTCAAATAAAAAAAAAATATGCCTGCCTTGTTCGACCGCTTGGCCGCGACGGGGCGCTCGAAACACTGGCCAAAAGTGAACTTACGCCGTAACATTACAGTTAGCAATCTCTCTACTAATCTCTGTCGTTGGTTTATTGTTTAGAGTCTTCCATTCACTTGATAAGTTTTGAAATTTCACTTCTATAGGCACGTTATGTGCATGCATAAATCAACGGTTTCAGAATTCTAACCTCGAGACAATTTGTGACGTAAGTAGATTTTTTACTAACTATCCTTTGATCCGCCACCCTCACCACACCTCGCCACGCTTCATTTTTAGTTTTATTAAATGTTATTCAGTACTCTCCGTATAATTTTCTTATTAAAAAAAAAAACTACTTTTGGATCTATTAAAAAACTCCATGGATTTGTCTACAAGTTTTCATATATACAAAAATAAATTATAAAATTTCTATACACTATATAAATGCATTTCACGATTTCTTAAAGTTAAACATAAAAAAACGTACAGTTAAATGATCTGCAATTTTTTGTTAGTATTGGTTACGCTATTTCGAATATTTATTCGATATTTTAGTAACATCTGTTTTAAAAAAACCTACGTGTTATAAACATTCACTGGCATGTTATACTACCCTATCGAAGAAAGCTGTATTACAGGATAATTTTTTTAAGCCTTTAAAGTATATTTTGTGTATTAAACATGGCCTTGAAATAAGTGTATAAGCACATGTGATAAACGTAACCGTGACATTACAGATTCAATCAAAGTAGACACATTATTGTACTGTCCAGCCTGTCAGGACGTAGTACAATGGCTTCAATTGAAACTTTTCATAACTACGCAACATGCTGTTTATAATTATTTATTCATCAAATATTCAAACACTTATAAAAACTACATACAGTTATCGAATATGTACTAATAATATGGTAGAATTAATTTGTTTATCCTAAAAATTCTGACTACCTCAAAACAAATAGGGTAGTAGTTTAAATGCACAGTAACCATTTGACAAACAATTTTACAAGTAAAAATGTCAGCAAAAGCCCCCCCAAAAATCACAAAAGTAGCCAAAACACATTTTCCGAGTCTAGAAAAAATCGAGGAATTGTACATAAAAAAGTATGTCGTAAAAAAGATGCGCAATTTTAATACTAAAAATATGAGCCATGTTGGATTTAAGTTAGTTTCGATGTTTTTTTCGCAAATCGCAAGAAACTGTCATTTTGAGCCATTTTTTTGACATTCATTACCTCGTGTCCTATACAAATTTAAGAGCTAAGACTTAAAAACAAAATTATATTAAAGTCCTCAACATACTCTTGCTTGATCGGTTTTTAATCGTTTATGAACCACAGCATAAGCCGTAAAAATGTCCTCTCTAAAAATGTCCATAAAAACGTTGTTAGCCAACATAGGTACATTTTTTAAATGGATTTCTCTTTCTCTTTGTCTTTACTTACCCTACAACTATCTAAAACCTCGTTTGTACTTACCAGTTAAAAGTAACTTATACATAAGCTGCAAAAAACAGCTTTTTGCTCTCCGGTCAGTGAAATAGGCAGCTCGGTCCACTTCCTGCATGAATAAGCTTCAGAAATTTTGGGCCAGCGCTTTCAAAATAAAAATGTGCTTATCTTGAAATCAATGTTGAAGATACTTCTAACTGGTAAAAACAAATGGATTTTGAGGTAGTTGTAGAGTAAATATCGACCAAGAGTAATACGTTTGAAAAATTTACCTATGTTCGCTAACAATTTTTTTATGGTTAATATATCTAACAGCTTAATATATCTTCCTAGCATTCCAATTTTAGCTCTTAACATTGTTTAGAACACGAGTTATTGAATGTTGAAAACATGGCTCAAAATGACAATTTCTTGCGATTAGTGGAAAAACATCTGAACCAATGTGAACTCAACACGGGTAATTTTTTTCGTATTAAAGGTGCGCATATTTTAGTGCAAAACAGTTTTTTATGTACAATTCTTTAACTTTTTTTCTAGACGCAAAAAACATGTGTCGACCATTTTTGCCATTTTTTGGGCTTTTGCTGAAATTTCTACTTGTTAAATTCCATGTCGATTTGTTTGTATGCATTTAAACTACTATCCTATTATTTTTTAGCTAGTCAGAATTTTTAGGATGTTGATATGATTTTAAGTTGATTCTACTATACTATAATTCCAATGACATCTGCACTACCGTTGTACATAAATTGTTTTGTAGGAGGCTTATTTATATTTATACATTATCTTCCATAGATCTTCATAGAAGTAAGACTTAATACTTAGGTATCGAAACACCTACTATCCAATAGTTTTAATAGTAGGTTTATTTTTTTTTGATAATTGAAGATTTTAACAAATAATAACATCAAAAAAATAGTGAAACCTTTTTTAATTCTCAGTCTTTGACTAAAAAAAACATTTTTTATTCTCAGCAACAAAATTTTTAAATTCAAAATTGAAAGCTGGTGATTAATCTACGATTGCAATACAGTTTTTGAATGTATTACGAGTACGAAGAAGAAATGTGAAGATGGGCTAATCATACAAGATTTATTAAGAAGTGAAAGAAAATACTTTTGTTTTCCCTTTAAAATATATTGGTGGTCCTAAGCATATGTATAACCAAGATGCAACGGCAATAATGTGTAAATGTAAGTGTCATAATTTATTCATTACGTTTATTTGCAATCTGAAATTGAATAAAATAAAGAAAATTTTGAAAATTTTTTCCCAAAACACCACTCTAAGGGACTTACTGATTATTAATGTCTGATAATTGATTATAAGACTAACATCAATTTTAAGTTCTATAAATCAAGAAATCATTTCCGGAAAAGTTTATTCTAATTTTAATACCATAGAATCTAAAAAAAAATTTATCTTATGCTTACATTATAGTTACATTGCATTGAAATAATAAATTATGTTGTGCTACTAATATTGACAAACATATTTTGGCAGAAATTTCATAAAATACAGAAATGAAAAAAATTAGTTCTTTAATTCGTGCAACATGGTTTCCGTTACAAATATAGCATTTGTCTTATAAGTAATCAAATTAAATGTACAAAATAATTTTCTCAAATGTATCATAACTCTACTTGCGTAAATTTCATTATTAGTAAGGTGATCTTTGAAGCTCTACAAAGAGAAAAAAGAATCGTCTAGCCTGTAAGACTCTTTACGTAAATTTAGCATAGATCCACACAAAAAATGTGCCTGGAAAGTCTCATGTATTTAATGTTTTTTTTTTCTATCTATATTAACAAGTAAAAATCGTGCAATGAAGCATCACTGTACTGAAGTTTTTACCCAGTCTTAAAAATTTTATCACGAAGAATGCTTTATACAAAATAAGTTTACAAGAAGATCATATGCTATAAAATTTATTGTTATGAGAAACACATTTGCACGAAAAGAATAATAAAGTTATCTTTTTGTTCATTACTGTAATATGTTCTTCAAACAACTTCATCTTGGTTTAACAAAATTCATATTAGAAAAAGTTGTAAAATTAAATTATCAGTATGTTGATCTTTTTATGGTCTTAGTTCTACATAAAATATTCTTTTTATTTTTGAGCATTGATTTATGTGTCGATAAAATTATAAGCATTCATACTGTCCTCACAGTAAAATTCATAAATTGTGATCAAAAGTAAGTCCTCTAACATCACTTGGCTTTTCAATGAATTCTTACCGTCGAAAGTTGTGTACATAAATTTATAATAAGAATTGTCGAAATCTACATATCAAAAATTATTTTTCTTTATTATTAAAAAAATTTCTTAGAGCACTAATTGTAAGTTAATAAAATTAAAAAAATAAATATAAGATAACAAAAAAATTTAAATAACCTTCTTGTATAGATCTGTGAGCTGGTGATAAAAAAGCCTTGTTCCAAGGCATCCAAAGCGCAAGTAAGGTGACAGTCCAGTTTGGCTGGCTAGCAATGACTGTGGTGTCATTTTTGGCCTACCAAAGCTTGCAGCCCAAGCTTTTCGTTCAAGGTGGCGCTCAAGTCGTGTTAAGGCCTCGCTTTCACCGCCCACCCACACTGGTGCTGTAAGGCCTTCTGTGTCAAAGCCTTTAAGAAATATTTTTGATTATTTTTCAGAGCTTATAACCGTTTAAATTTTATTAAGAACTCACTTAATTCTTCGAGAGAGGGAACACCAAAAAAGTCATCGTGGTTATGTGTAAGAGGCGTATAGGCACAACCAATGCATTCAGCCGTAATCGTTGCAGTTGGATTATCGGGTGGGTTCATACGTATTATCATACTTTGAAACTGATGATAAGTAAGTGGGGATTTTCCACCATTTTTTTCAATTATCCTGGAAATAACAAAAATCAGAAACAGTTAACGTAAAATAGTACTTAAATGATGTGATTAATCATTTGGTCTTGTTTTAAAATTAAATAAAACTCAAAAAGGCTACTCATAGCTCTATATTTATGTCTTTCATGAGATAAAAGTCTGTAGCCTTAAAGCTTCAAGGCCATAAACGTATTGTCAAAAAAGTATAAATAAAATGCGTTTGCCAGTTTGACCATTTGTTTGAAGACTTCAAGTTTTTAAAAGTAGAAAAACATCTTGTCGGACATCTAAAATTGATTGCATCATATTTTAAATAATTAATTAATCTAAAAAAATGATTTTTCTGATATTTCACTATTTAAAAATTATTAATGATCAAATTTTGAATAAGTATGCATGGTTTTTATGGTGTTTGACGTCTAAAGATGTTCCTGCAAATGAACCTTAGATGTCTCCAATTTCTGGTTTCAATCTATTTGTTCATACCTTAGTCAATTAACTGAGAAACGATGTAACTCAAATTAGCAGACTAAAATAAAATACTTTACTAAAGACAACTTAGTACTATTCGATAAAATAATCTCACGTACACACTTCTTTCTTAACTGAAGGCCGTAAGCTTGTTCTCACTACTCTACATGTTATTGTAGCCTGAACCCCTTGATCCATTATTATTAGACTGAACTAGAGTCATATATAAAATCGTTATACGACTTACTTGATATAATAATAATACCCTTATTTATCAAATTTAATACTTAGCCTTATTCATTCAATACTTACGTACATTCTTCTTAACCTACATGTGCAGAGATACTTGTCACGATTTTAATAAAGTTTTGTTTCTCTAGCTAAAAAAGACGAAGATTTTGCTGCTTACGTGTGAAATGCTTTATATATTAATTTTATAGTACCAAATCCTAATCGAAGATAACTTTTGGCATTATTACAACATATTACTGTTAACATTTTAATAAATCATGTTAATATGCTGCTTGTAACATCATACAGTATCTTGAACGTATTCTAATCTTTACAATTTTAAAAAAACTTAGAAAATTCAGAAAAACTATAAGAACCACTTTTAATAACTCAATTGATGTTTTATGGGATCAGTTTGACTCTGCTCATACTGATTAATCTTATTTTCTACCAGCTCTCTTGCACATTAGGTACCATTCACTTATTAAAAAACTATCGTTACAGCTACCATTGTAACTAAGATTATTTTTCGATTAGCATCAGTTATTTCAGACTTTATTCAATTAAAACAACCATTAATGGCATGGGGAATCCTTTTACTTTCTTGCATGAGTAGCATTATTTTTATAATTCTTTCACCATTAGGAAAACATTAACAGAGATAAGTAGGGAGATTGCCAGTACCTTTGCAAAAGAGTGTATCGATGTTTTGGCTCTGATTCAAGTGCCAATGCCTCGTAACCAGCAGAAAAACTATGCAAACATTATCTATTAGCTGGCAGCTTACAGGCTCAGCTCATGGGGAGAGCTAAGGGGAGATGAGATAGTAAGAAATAAGAAATCCAAAATGCATGCGTCGGTGATAGAGTGGGAAAGCCTAGCCTATGCGTATGTACATACAACAGGCTGTATACTTATGTACTACTCCACATCGAGAACAGATAAGTGTATTACTTCTTTTGCTTTTTCTCCCTGACAGCAAGATAGCTTACTAAATGCAGTTAATAATTTAACTATTAAAACAAAAACAGAATTATGAAATCATTAAGGCTTTTTCATTTTTTTTTTTTTTTTTTTTTAATATCGAGCTTAACACTTATAACTTACTATTTTTGTTTATAAATAAACAAACACCTTTTCCCAAACGATCCAGTGAACTCAACAATTCCTAAATTTTATGATAAGTAAAATAATTGAATAATAATAAAACGCATTTATCACAACGATACAGTGCGCTCAAATCAATTTTTTTTTGTCAAAACTAATATTATTTACTGATACACGAACGCCTTTACCTAAAGAATGCATTGCACTGAAGTCTTTTTTTAAGAAGTTACATTTGTTAACCCATAACACGTAGCTTAACTTGAATGATGCGATAACGCTTATATTAAGTGTTGAGCTTGGAACTTTACTACAAACATAAGTTACTTTTAGTTCTTCTATATACGATGCGTTAGTAGCTATGTTGCCTAACATTTTTACATTGCGTTCACTATTGAGGTACGGGGCTTATCTCTCACGGAACAAAAGCTTTTTTTTCTTTAGCATAACATTATATAACATTTTCTTACCATGCGTATAAAATGCAGCTGCCGCTTTGCATCCTTGGGTCACACTTTGCGCCCTTGTAATCATTTTGAGCCCATAGTAATTATCTGAGAGCAAAGTGAGCCCACGGGCACAAAATTGCACTTTGCACTCTCGTTAAGAAAAACATTATACGCAGCTCGGGCACTAACATACAACAAGTAGGCCCTTTGGGTGCTCATGCTTGTATTTTTTACCCTAGTGACGTAATGTTCAATCTTCACACTTCATTGTTATGATTAATTACGCTAAAAGTTTTACCTGTAATCAAGAAAACTTTTATAATACCTACCTCACAAGTACAAAAATTCGATAACCAATAAAAATTAAAAAGTTTTAAAAGCATTAGTCAGCTCTAATCTGTTTCTTACATGTTTATAAATATTTTCTAAAATCTCTTTCATAACGATTTTTGGGTAACTTATCAGAAAAATTCTGTTCCATTTCTCGCTTAAAAAATCATTTGATTCAATATGTAAAAACTTATTCCACACTAAATAAAGACTATAGTTATTATTATTTGTTCTTATGGTTGCCTCCTGTTTGAGCTTTTAGTTATTGGATCTCGTAGTTCACAGTTCTCGCACGCATGAATACCTATATCTGTTCCTAATGTGCTGTCCCTTGAAAAGCAATTTAAAATGTTGACAGTTAATACGTTTGGTCATATATTACTGACTGAGCGTTTATGTACTTCTAAATGAGTATTTAATACGTGTATAGCTAAATACCGCTGAATACTGTGTTCTTCGTCGAGTAAAATGAAAAACTGAGTTATAAGAATGTAAGGCTCGATATCAAGTATTAATTTTTAAAATATCTCCAGAAAATTATTATTTTCTCAACTTTAATAACTCCTCATGTCACAGCTAAAACAAAAAAATTAAAGTCCTTAATAAATAGATACTCTCATATTGAGAAATATAGGTTCATTAATATATATTTTACCCATTCATAATTTTCCAACAATATACTCAGTCTTTTCTTTTGTACTTACGTTAATTTAATAAAGGATGCTTTTTCTAGAATTTTCGTGTCATTCTTCAACCCTTGCAACTTTTCTATAAAGAATCCCCATAATCATACCCTTTAAGAAAACAAAAAGGTGAGGTAAATTTGATGTGTTGTTAAGTTAATATTTTAACGTAAGGAATTCCTGAAGCTTTCCTACACTGCTAATGAGTAGTATTCTTCCCAATGAATCTGTAGCCTTAAAAGTTCTAAAATCAAACATAAAAACAGTAGAGTTCTCATTTTTGTGCAACATACATTTTGTATGATACTCGTATGATAATGTTTAGTACATGTTCTTTAACAAAACTAGACTCAATAATATTGACTTCTAACTGGTGCTGTACATAAACCTTTTTTTAATGGATTGAAATAATGCCCTAATATTTTCATATACTTTCGAAATAAAAAGGGATTGTTGTATTTAATGTGAGGTTCGCATAAAGTACCAGTCAAAAGCCAATATTATTTAGCTTGATTTTTTGAAAGTGCAAGTACTAAACAGTATTTTAATGCGAGTGTCATACAAAATGTACGTTGCGCCAAAACAAAAACTCTATCGTTTGTACGATTGGATTTCAGAATTTTTTTAGGCTACCGATTCATTAGGAAGAATAATACTCATTGGCAGTGCAGAAAGGCTTTAGAAATTCCTTATGTTAACATATTAACTTAATAGCACCTCAAACTGACCTTACCTTTTTGTTTTCTTAAACGACATTTCTATGGGGATATAATAACTTCTCAGAAAAATACTGTTTTTGAATGTTTGTATTAAAAAACTGAATCACATCAGATATGGCTCGTACTAGAAAGTACTGGATAAAAACGAAGTCTGTACCACATAGCTACGCTGATCTACAATATTCGTTTGACATTGTGGGTGGCACACATAGATCTATACGCACCATTATGGTGAGGACATGCAGCAGCTAATGTTGGGAGTTCAAACTCTGGATAATTAACCACATCATTAACTTGAAAATTAAACCTTTTTTAGCCACCTTTTCTTCACTTCTCCAATCACAAAAATCTTCTTAGCATCTTTGAGATTCTCCCAAAGAACATTACCAATTTCTGTGTAGTCGATAACACCTGATTGCCAATCTAATCCATGATAGGATAGCTCAAGCCATAAATTTTCACGTTTGTATTTATCATTTAGTTTGCGCCAAGGAAATGGCGGCATGAAGAGAAATACTTGAGGCTCATCATCTCCATGGAGTGGAAGAATCGCCAACTCTTTAAGCACATAATCGTTGCCAGGCTTCTTAAAGCCTTGCATGTCCACCATGTACTCCATCATGATAAAGACTGACTTCACTGCGAGTGTTTTATTTTATTTTTTTTTTAATTTTATATACGTGCTTGAACAAGTTTTCTCACGTCACCACTAATGGGATTGTACTCTACGATGCGATCGTGTAGAATGAGACAGTAAGCAAATACATTTTCCGAGAAATTCTCTCGTGCTTCAAACTCCAAGCGCACGTCCACTGGCGCGCTTTTCAAAGCTTCATTCTGCTTTGAGCAGTCAATTACAATAAGAGGCATGTGTGTGATAAAATCTTTTTTATTCACCATAGGTTCTGGTTCTTTTCCGTAATAGGCGGCTTCAAAATTCTTATACATATCATATAATGTTGAAAACTGATTTTTATTAATATCAAGATTAAGATTTCCTTAAGGATAGTACTGTGAGTTTAAGAAAAG